ACTCCTCCTCCCCTTGGTGTATTTCTACTATATGTCAATGTATTCAGCTTGTCCTATTTTTACAGAGAAATTAAAGAAACAGTATACATGTGAAATCGCATTACGTTGAAATCTAACTCATAGTATATGTCCCCCCCTCCCCTCCCCTTCTCCCTAACACCCTACCTCCCTCCCCCCTGACTTCCCAGAGCCGGTACATGGTATAGATTTTTAACAAACACAGTCTAAAATATATTGAGACAAAAGAAATTAAAAAAGAGGTTAATAACATCTCTACATTGATCTTAGCTTCTTCCTGTTACTCTAACTTTGAACTTTATATGTTTCATAGTCACTATCCCTGTCATAAATATATGAAGTGTGGGAAAATAATTACATATTTACAGAGTCCTTCTTTTTGAATCATTCTTGACTCTTGGCAATTGGTTGGACTGGTTCCTGAAGGTTTTTTGCCAAGGTTTTTCAGAAGTGGTTTGCCATTGCCTGTTTGAACCCACGGTCTCCCAGTTTCTAGCTTGGTCCTTTAACCACTATACCACATTGGTTACCTTGTAGTCAATTCTCCTTCCCCACCCACCACCACCACCTCTACAGTCCCAGGCTTATTGCCAAACAAGCTGGATGCCACTAAAGACTGCGTGTGCTTTTTCAGAGATGCTGTTGGACTCTTCAGAGTTATCAACCTTGTAAAGCGTAAGGCAAGAAGCATGCCAATAGTTTACTTCCTAAGGCAAAGGGAACGAGTTGGCAGGAGGTCAGGTAGACTGAGGAGGGCTAGATAAGAAGAAAAACATCTCACTTGGTATAATGCCAATCTTGATTGCAAAAATATAATCCACACATTACAGTTACTTTGATGCTTCCTTGGTCCCTTCTTGGTCTTCCTTTTATTATCTACTACTGACCAAAAGGGAAACATTAAAAAAATGTTTCACCTTATCTCATCTTACAGCCTTTAGTTACATTCTTAGAGAAGGGTTTTGTTTGTTACAGCACACACGCATAGACATATTTCTCCTTGAACTGGTTGTGATCCTTTGGCTGCTAAAGGACTTCTTTTTTTTAATGAAAATGTGTGAAGTGTTTTCCAAGGCAGGAATTAGCCATTTAGCTCAGTAAAAATGCACCTCCTTTTAATCTGCCCATGAACAGCTTCCATTGTGCTTCTTCTACTCAGTTTCGAAATGGGGCAGGGAAGGAGGGGCGAAGAGACAGCAAAAGGACAGTGAAACAATGAAATATGTTGCAGAAAGAAAGAGGCCCTTGGAACTGGGTCAAACTGAAAATTAAATGAAAAAAATACGTCTTGTTTATCCAACATAGGCATCACAGTTCTAGTTTATTTCATGTAGGATTAAGGAAATATCTTACTTTAAGCAGAATTTCCCATGTTATGTCCTTTAAATATACATAAGCCAAGTCCCCTTATTGGCCCTCATACTGAAGCTGCTTCCAAAAGCTCTAGATAAGCTCTGCTATCACAGGATTTCTCACATATATGTAGGGAGGTCTGGATGGTTTTCTTCATGCTGACACACTGATGCACTTCATGCTGACATAATGATGCACTTAAACCACAAAAAAAGACATGATCTAGCCAGAAAAAGAGACTCACGCGCTCTGTGGCCAAACATGCTTATATGGACTAATGGAGGCTAGGAGATAAGGGGGTAGTATGAAATAAGAACACACTTAAATGAACAAAAATGACTCCAAAAGGGATCTGTTTAGCTCAAAACTGAACGGACTCATTATGTCATGATTAAACAAATTTTATCCTGTTAGTTATGGTATGGGAAAAGCTTTGATTGGCCTTTTGAATCCCACTGGGACAGTCAAGAAACACACTCCATGCTACCTCTAGCACTTATTGCCTGCAAAAGGCAACAAAGATCCATGATAAACTACACAAGTTATTTATTTATTCCTGAATTTATTTACAGGAGATCTTCAGTTAAGAGCATCTGACTTGATGGACAACTCGTACTTATGAATAGCCTATTTATAAAAAATGGTGGATGCCACTGAAGCCACGCATTTTAATATGCAAGCTGTTTTCAGTAGTTTTCAGTGATTCATGGAAATATTGTACAGCTTCAACAGTTTTTTGGCTTGAACAATGAGAACACTACTTCACTAGTACATGTTCCGATTTAAATACAAATTTGACTTAGGACCAACTTGGGAACTGATTTCGTTCTTTACCTGGGAACTGCTTGCACTATATTTGTTAACAAACTACACTGTAACATAGAGGACAGAAATGTCCGAAACCACAGGAGGGGCAGCATACTGTCTGTCTGATCCACATGATCTTTCTCCTTCATATGCCATCTGGCAATGCTTTTGTCAATGGTGTGAACGTACAACCATAGTCTCATCCAACCCTTTCTATGACTGCCGGCAGAAAAGTAATGTCACAATTTAAAGGTTCAAAGAGTGAAAGATCAAAGAGATGCAATAATCAAACAGGAAAAGCCTCCCCCTAAATACCTCTCCCTAAATACATCACAGGCATTGCTCTGCAAGAGACTTTCATCCCAACGCCATTATGTACTTGCAAGAGTGCCTGTGCATCACACACTTTGTAGATTAGGCAGAAGGAAAAGGAGAGAGGGAGGAGCATGAGGTGCAGCTACTAAGGAAAGCGGGTGGGTGATCAAAACATCTGGGCAGAAGAAAATCCGTGAGCAGCTATATGCCTTACCAGCTGGACAGATGTTCATGAAAAGACACATGCAATTTGCAGTGCTACAGCTGATGGAGGCATACTCCTTTCATCTTGACTTCAGGGAAGAGGCTCTACTACTGTAATTCAATCCTTCCAAGTATAGATAAGTAAACCAGAGGAGAGGCCTTCTAGCCAAGTACAAAACCTCCCCCTGTCCATCACTTTGTGGAGTGCACTGCCATGGAACATAGTCACTTAGTCCCATATTCTTAGTGGTGGGTTTCCACACACCCTTTCACCCTAGCAAAATTGACCAGCCGTATCAACTATTTCATGTAATCCACTGGCATGGGAAATTCATGGTGGGGAGAGAGTTGGTGGAAAGCACAAGTGGTAAAACCCTCTACATTAGGGGTGTCAAACTCACGTCGTCATGGCGGCATCACGTGATATATCGGGACTTTTTTCCCCTTCGCTAAACCGGGCATGGGTGTGGCCAGCCTGTGATATATCCTGCCTGTGGTCCAGGAGTTTGACAACCCTGCTCTACATGAATCTATACTAACATCTTGGTATTCCAGCACTGTTTTCAACATGCTTAGAAATTCATCCATTAACTATTTCAAGGAGGGCAAACCAAGAATGCCCTATCACTTTCAGAGGATCAAATGTTCATTTTGGCTGTAATGGGGTTTAAACAGGCATGATGTAGTCTAGAAGAGGTTGTTCCAACCCATCTGGATAATATTGTGAATCAACAACCCTTTTACCACTGTAGCAGACTAACTGAAGAATATGCCAGTCCAAGCAGTTTAAGAGAAGCTCTAGAATGTAAAGAATTAATGGTAATTTTCAGAAAACTTAACATATCCATCAATGAAATATCTTTGTCAATCCACCACAGTGTGAAGCAACTGATATCACTTTATAATGCCTTGGAAAGACCATACTTGGAAAATACTGCATCCAGTTTTAGTTGCCACAATGTAAAGAAAGATGTTGAGACTCTAGAAAAAGTATAGAGAAAGGCAATAACTGAGGCTAAAATATATAAAGAATGGTTTCTGGAATTGGGTATGTCTAGTTTAATGAAAAGAGGATTAGGAGTGACATTATAGCAGTGTTCCAATATCTAAGGAGCTGCCAGAAAGGAGAGGGGGTCGACCTATTTTCCAAAGCACCAGTAGGCAAGACAAGAAGCAATGGATGGAAATTAATCAAGGAGAGAAGCAATCTGGAACTAAGGAGAGTCTGAACAATTATTCAGTGGAACAACTTGCTCCAGAAGTTGTAAATGATCCAACACAGGACGTTTTTAAGAGGAGATTGAACAACCATTTTTCTGAAAGGGTATAGGGCTTCCTGACTCAGCTGGTTGTTGCACTGGAAGACTTCCTTTACAACTCTGTTATTCTGTAATGCCACAGAATTCCAGACTATAGTTACCTGGTATAAGAGCGTAGGTGCGAATTCTAGTCTTGCCCCTTGCCTTCTCTGGTTGATAGAGTTCTCTTGATTCCTGCTTGGATGAAAACTGTCAACTAAGATAAATGCTCATTGAAGAAAAATGGATGATGAAAACTTCATCTTCTTCTAATGAAGAGTTAAATATCATGCTGTTTTTGTTGAAATTTTCAACCCTGCTGAGAAAACAAAAAGGTCCTTTTCATATTTCTTCCTGAGATGGCAGCTGAGTTTTGCTTTTATTGCATCTGTTGTCAAAGAGACAAAATATTGTGTCTTTTTTGGCTAAGTATGTAAGCTCGTAGGTAGAAGAGTATGATACAAGGCTACAGGCAGGCTATTCCACAATAGAGGCCTCTTGAAGAGGGAGTTTGTAAAAAAGAAAAAGAAAAAAGGCAGAAAAGCTCAGCAGAGAATGAATATACATTTTATAACTACAAAGATTTGGGTAATTAAAAGCTTTAACCCATAGCTTTGCTTTCTCATAGTTCAAGCTCAGTTCATAAGTAATATAAATATTTTCTTGTTACAATCTTGTTAAAACTTTTTTTTAATTTTAAAGAACTGTATCTTTAAATGGTTTTTGTATGTGTAATATTATTCTCTATGACTCACTGAACAAGTCCACTCCAAAGGTTTGCTCCAGTGTAAATCAGAAGGAACTCATAAGCACTTAAAACAATTAAATGGAGGCAAATATTCTGACTTTATTAAGAGTTAGAACAAGAACATATTGCTGTGTATGTTGCTAAGGCAATAAAATACATAACACGGGATCTGGAACTGATTTAAGCTTTAATGTTTGGAAGTGTGCTGTTGGCTTTACAGTAAAACATTCTTAAACTAATATGTAAGGCCTCATAAGACATTCTTGAATACTGGATATTAGTGAGAACACATAAAACACATAATATGAGAAAAACCATTGTTTTTCAAGACTACCATACCACATTTTAAAAAAAATTGTCAACTCTGAAAAGATGTTTATAGAAACAAGAAAAGGTACATATTCGTAAATAAAGGCAATTTTGACAGGATCTAGACACCAACGTAGAATATAACATTACCAAGTGAAACAGTCTGCTTAATCAGTAAAATTTGAAATACATTTATATTTTAAAAAAATATATCAGGATAAAATTCACAAAGGTGAATCTTGCAGGGCCCAAGAGGAAGTATTTTCCTTCAGCTTCGCTTCCTCCATTGTGCATGGCGAACTGTGTAGAATAAAAGGGCCTCAAAAGAAGTGAAATTAAAGATTGTGTTCTTAAAAGTGTTCTCTGTGTTGCAATCAAATACACTGAAGGGACAATCTGACCTGCAAAGAGAAACGCCATCCCACTGAAGAAACACCGATGCATTCTTTTTTCTTAAGTAGAATTCTATACCTTGTTATTCCAACACCTTCAAAATTCCTACAGAGTTGGGAAAAAAACAACCTATTATTTTAAAAAGCAAAATAATAAAATGGGGATAAAGATGTAATAATCTAATAAATAATAAAAGGCTTTAGAAGATTTCCAATAGCAAACTACATAATATAAGTCATTTTGCACCAAAACTGCATCACAGCTCCAGTCAAGGTTAGGAGCAGAGAATGTAAAGCTTCTTTTATGAGTTGCACCACAACAGATGGAGTTCTCAGAGAAAAGACTTCCTAATCTGTGGGATCAAGGATTCCCTAATTACATGCTGATTACAGCTTTATTGTGGGGGGAGATGAAACAAGCAGACATTATCATACCTACTTTAAAGGAGTACCAGATGGCCTTTAACCTAAAGGGCCTTCTGTCCAGTTTGGAACAACCTTTCCTTATTAGAAATCCTATGCTCCAATCAATGGCTAGGTTGTTATCCTGAGAGAAATATACAGATAAAATTATAAAACCTGCAATGAAAACTGAATCCTTCAAGTGGAAAGGCCCATTCCCCACACTAAAACTGCTGTTTCAATATAAGGACAAATGATAAATACTTCTTCCTTTTCTTCCAGCCCTAAAAATCAATTTCTGATGGATTAGAATGACTGAGAATAAAATTTAAAAAGTAAAGTACGGTAGCTCCGGTTTGTTAACCATTTTGATCACGGTTTTAAAGTAAGTTTAACCTAAATACAATAGGTTTGGATGTATTTAATTTGTGTATTCTTATTTTAATTTATTTTTTAAAAAATTATAATTTATTTAATAAAGTTATAATTCCCTATTTTTTTCAATTATATTTTTGCTTGGTTGATGCTAGCAGTTCTGTTCTAGGAGCCTGACTTGGAAAGTTAACAGTACCATTGCCAAGACAGCCAAGACAAAAATGTCCATTTAGGAGTGGAGTCAGACTTATGACCTCAGGATTCACTTAACAACTGTCATAAAAATAGTCTGCTCATGTGGTGCCTCAATGTATGACCACTATGATTTATGACTAGAATTCTGATCCCAATAGTGGTCAAAAGTTGAGGACTACCTATAGAAATAAAACATTTTCCTGTTCCTTCAACTCAAGCAGCTGGTTCTTGTGACAAGAACTGATACATTTTCAGATAAGTGTTCAGTAGCCTTGTGCCCCTGCAGACAGTTACATTAAATAGGAAGAATACTCCTTACTCCCAAAATCAGAATTGCCCAAAGTTTCAACACAAAGACACACTTTCAAGAGCGTTGACTTTTGATGACTGCCTGGACAAATATCTGCAGTCTTGAAAAGGTTTTTTGAAAGTGTTTTGCCCTTACTTGCTTCCTAGGGTTGAGTGTGTGTGACTGGCTTTAGGTTACCCAGCTGCAGTGGCGGGGTTCAATTTTTTTTAGAACCTCTTCTGTAGGTGTGGCCTGCTGGATGGGAGTGGCTTGCCAGCCATGTGACTGGGTGGGCATGGCTTGCCAGCCATGTGACTGGGTAGGCGTGGCCAACTTGTAAAATGTAGTGAAACTCACTTAACAACACTCTTGCTTAGCAACCAAAATGTTGCCTCAGAAACTCTGGCATTTGTAGCACGCAAGTCTTAAAGCTGTCAAGTTACAAGGCCCTTGCACCCATAACCCTTTAGAAAAAAAACCCAGGGGTGTTCAAACTTGACAGCTTTAAGACTTGTGGACTTCAACTCCCAGAATTCCTCCTCTCGCTCTTCATCTTGATGGTGTGCAGACGGGCAGCGGGAGGGAACTGGAACCGGTTCTAAATGACACTATAGATTTATGGAAACTCTTCTATAGAAGAAGTTAGAATTGGCAGGAACCCACCCCTGCCCAGCTGGCTTCCTTCCTAAATGGGACTAAGACTCAAGGACGCCTGGTTTCTAGCTTGGTGCCTTTAATCACTATGCCAAGCTATCTTTTATCATCTTAGTCTTTTAAAGATTGGGAGGAAATCCTTGTTGGCAACATCTTAGTTTTGTTTTGTTTTTGGAGATGCAAAACTCTCTCTTTCACACAGACACACATACATACCACCATCATCTTGTTAAGTTCAGGTTTCTTCTGGTCTCCAAATCACAATGCGATGACCTAACTCTTCTACTATGCCTTTACATCTTCAATGCAGCCTGGGAACAATTAGCAAGAAGTCTCTATCTCAAAGTGTTTTCTCTGTTGCAAGAGGTTAATGAGGCAGCTTCTATAGTGCATTCTTTTGCTAAATAATAGATCTTATTCTTCCCAGTTAATTGCATGCTGGACACTTAACATTAGAAGAAACAACCTGTCTCCCATCATTGGGATCCAGGCATTCTTTTTGGAGATATATTCCAGCAGAAGCTTTAAGTGTCTGAACACTTATAGTTAATTTCTCATATTTCCTTAATAACTGGAAAAGACAGGCATTTTGAGAAATTTTTGAAAGTATTGAAAGCTATTAACCTCTAATTGCAGGCTAGAAAGATGAATCCATTCTATGTAAACAATTATTTAAATTGCATTCTACTCTGTCCCTCAGGCCTGGGACACAGAAGCTTTGACATCCCAGTGGATGTTGAACTACAATTTCCAGCATCCTTAAGCACAATTGTTCTGATATCCTTTTGACAACTTCCTGTTTAGCAGACCTCCATGGAAAATGGATGATGAGCAAAATGGGTATTCTAATTCAGCTGGATTCCTGTTCTTGTTGTCCAAATGGGTTCTTTTAGTAGAAAATGTGAAAGTTTAGTCATGAACCTAATTTGATTCAACAAAGAGACCTTTTATTGGCTATTCCTTGATTTTTCTTTGTTTAAAATTGAATTCAATCAAACAACGTTCACTATTTAGCTTAAACTGAATATTGAAACTTACACCACTGAAAATTGTATTGCTAGATGCAAGCTGAGAAAAAATATGTGAACAATCTGTGAACAATAGTCTATAATGGTTTGCTAAATGGAGCAAGTTATTTTTGTTACATAGATGAGAACATGGAAAGGAAAATGAATGTATACATTTATCCAATCAATGACATTTGCAAGATTGGTCAAAACAGGCAAGATGATGGGCACAGCATTGGGATTTAAGCCCCACCTCTGTTGGGCATGTATTGACATTATACATTTGTAAAAACGGATAAGAATATTTTGCCTATTTTCACACACACACACACACAAACACACACACACACACAAACACCAGATCTTCCTATCCGCAGTGGCCTGATTGATTAATAAATAGAAATATAAGTGTCCTGCACTAATTAATGTACAGAAGAATTTAATGAAGAATTATTTAATTAATAAATAATCCAAAATTATTTATTTATGTCTTTGGGGATGGCCACTTCTAATACCTTTATTGCAAAACTCTCAATTTGTCCTGATAAATTGAGCATGAAGTTCTTTCTCCTTTAATGACAGGCGGAGGGAAAATCCAAATGACCATTTTATATGTTTATAAACCAACATTAATGTACTATGTTGAAATAACCATTATTGCAAAAAAGGCAACTCTGATATTTTTTAAAAAAATGAAGGTCATAACCTATAATTTGAGAGTTTGACAAATTGGCACGCCTTTTGAAGCCTTAGCTATTTCTGGTTAGGACCCAAAGTCCTTTACATTTTCTTTGTTATGGAATGGCATCTTATCCTTATTATAGCTCCAGTACTGTTTCTGCGAAGGCAGAGATGAAGAACCACCTCCCAAGTGCAAATATACACCCGCTTGGTTTTGACAGTCATGAATTTCCCAAGGGGAAAATGGGCAAATCCATTCTAATTCATCTTTATTGAGGTTTCATCTTGATGTATTTTCTAAGTGAGCGCTATCACTTATCAGATTAAAAATCACAGAAATCTTCTCTAAGATCTTTGATGTTGAAGTGCATAATGTTAGCCTGAATTTGCAAGTAAAACCTTACCGTGCCAGGTAGTATGGATCTGAGAATGATGCTAAATATAGTGCTCTGTTTATCACTGCTTTGGTTAATTTAAGGGGTTTTGACTGTCCTCCTGATGTGGTTGTTTCTGCTGACAAGATTTTTCTTTACATTCTCTCCCATAATGTTATTTGGCAGCCACTACAAAGGAAGAGGACAAGTTCAAATGAATGCAGGACTGACATGAATGATAACCTTAAATATATCAAGTACTTAAGTATGCATTACTCTAAGTAAGTCATTGCTGGCTGTGAATGGAGCATCTGTGGGAGCTCTTTCGCTTTTGCCAAGTTACTTGTTTCTTCCCATTCTGCTAGGAAGCTTTTGTGCTTTATATCAGCACAATACCACATAACAGCTTCTTCAAATGTTCAAAGGCTTTGAACTCATTCATTTCATGCTTTCAGCTTCCCTTGCTAAATCCTGGAGCCTAACTGTCTTTCCTGATTGATGAAGGCGGACAGCTTTCTCTGGCTAGTATAATAAGATGCTATTGAATACTCTACAAGTGAACATCTCCGTTAAGATTCATGCTCCCTAATTTTAATTTTGATGTATTTTCATTCATGAACTGGAGTTATGACCTTACTTTTCCGCAAAATCAATGAATTAGACCAGTTAGTTTTTGCAGGGATCCATTTTTTTTATTCTATTGAATATTTGTTGTTTCTTTTTCTAGATGATATCATAATAAAGTATTTTTTAATTTTAACACAAAATAAATCAAGAACACAGTATTACATGAGAAACTATATTTCTTCAGTTTACATGGAGTTTTATTATAACCTCTGTACTATTCCCGGAAAACTTGTTATTTCATATTATTTCTGCCAGCAAATAATGTAGATAACATAGTATATCGGTATCATACAAATAGTAATCTGCAATCTGGATTACCCATATGGAAAAGTTGGAATATATAGTGGAAGTATTGTCAGTTTGGATCAGTAGTCATTTAAAACAAGAAAAAGGAGCCGAGATGGCGCAGTGGTTAGGGTGCAGTACTGCAGACCACTTCAGCTGACTGTTATCTGCAGTTCAGCGGTTCTAATCTTACCGGCTCAAGGTTGACTCAGCCTTCCATCCTTCCGAGGTGGGTGAAATGAGGACCCAGACTGTGGGGGCGATATGCTGACTCTGTAAACCGCTTAGAGAGGGCTGAAAGCCCTATGAAGCGATATATAAGTCTAACTGCTATTGCTATTGCTATAATATTGCCTCAATAAATATCTTCAACAGCTATAACAAAGCAACAGGGTTTTTTTTTAATTAATTTTTTTTTAAAAAAAATGAAATTCACCGGCCAAAATTTAGAGCATCTGTTTTTCTAGATATACAGCATGTTCTATTTTAGAACACTAAGACTAAAACAGATTTTCATCTGTTATTACTTTGTCCAGCAGCAACTGTTTCTCAAAACAAACTTCTGCCAATATCTAGCCTCATTTTTTGGCCAAAAGTATGTCTCTGTAGGCTTTCCTTTGGACATTTCTTCTTTCATATGGCTGGCATTAAAGAAAAAAAACCAAAACCAAGTGTTTAATAGTTCTGTTTCATTCCAGGCACTACTGTACTCTGAATTTAGTTTTTATGAGTCAAACTATTAAACAACAAAAGAAGAATTAGCTTTTTTTCCTTCATGTCTTTGGTAGAAATTAGATGTATATATCCAGGTGTGGGCTACTATGGGTTCGCCCAGGTTTAGGAGAACTCATAGCTAATGTTATGGCCAGTTTGGACAATCTCCAAATCCCATCCATGGCTGGCCCCTCCCACCCCACCTCACCCTGCCCATTCCAAGAGTCTCCATGCAACCCATTTTGGATGCAAGTAAATGCAGGGATGCGTGAAGGCTTGGGGAGAGGGGAAAATGGGCCTCCTAGTCATTCTGGAAAGCTGGAAAAGGGCCTGTTTTTGGCCTCCAGAAGGCCCCCAGAGCCCGGGGGAGGATGTTTTCACCCTCCCAGAGGCTTGAGGAAAGCCTCCAGAGCCTGGGGAAGGTGAAAATGATCCCCCCCCATGTGGTGTAGGAGGCTGACTAGTCCATACGTAACATGGCCTCACCCACCCAGCAACTCTTGCTGAAATTTTTGAAGCCCACCCCTGCATATATCCCTCCTTAAAATCTCTTAAATTGCTATCAGATCACACACACACACGCACCTCCGCTCAACCATATGCACACAGACAGGATTTAATATTATGCATATTCTCAACATGAGTTTAAAAATAACATTTACTTGCAAAGAAGAGATTTGCAAAGTAACACCAGCATCCAAGAGCAGAAATCCTGGATTGTAAGGAACTTGACTGTGAACTTCCCTAAAAACAAGATCATCTAATCTGCTAAAGATAAGAGTTCATGCCTTTCATTATTTCATATGCAACTAAATTATTTCTAATATAAATTTATTTATGTATCTTTAGTACAAAGAGGAAAAATACTGACTTACAATAGAGTAGTACAATGAAGAAAATTTTCCCAGCTCCTCATTTGAAGTGCCTGAAGGCTCTATAGTCTTGCCCCTTCTGTTTAATATTTACATCAAACAGAGTGAGGTCATCTATTGGTTTGGTTCTGGCATCATCTAAACACTGATTGATATTGAATTGTATATCTGGACCTTAGGCTGCAGAAGCCCTGACACAGGGATTGGAAACTGCTCAGGTCTGGATGAGGAGGAACAAACTCAGTCTGAATCTTTCGCTCTATAATTGGAAGCCACCCAGAGATGATTAAAAGACGGGCAGCTATGCAAATGTTTTAAATAGATTTCTTATCTTTGGTTATGGAGGTGGGCATATATTTCAAGACTGATGTGCAATCTGGAGTCCTTATGGACTCACAAGTTTGGCCCAAGGATGAGGTGAGAATTGTGCACAGGAAGACCTTTGTGCAGGTTTCATCTGTGAATTTGGTGGAAAGAGGCACAGGAGGAAGACCCACTACAAAGGCAACAGTCACATAAAACGGGTTTGAGTCCAAGCAAGAATGTGAGTAAACATCTCAGGCAAACTGCTTCCTAGTACTCATAATGTTAAGAGGGATGATACATTCAGACTTGCCAGATTCTGTTATTATAGCTTTTTAAAGCTTATAAAAGTAGTACTGACCTACATGCCATTGGTTTGCTTTGAAGGGCTGACAACTTCGCCAGTTGTGCCCTTTCCTATGGCAGGACTCTTTTTAGTGGATCATTCACGTCATCTCTCGACTAGATTACTGCCATAGGCCCTAAATGAAGTTGCTCTTGAAGATCACTGGGAAGCTACAGCTGGCTTAATTTGTGGTGGCAGGGACAGTAGTATTATACCATGCATAACCTGGTTTGTGAGTTACACGGCTTGCCAATTGGCTTCTGGGTGCAATACAAAGTGTTCTTCCAGACATCACTAAAAACATGGCTTTGCTCAAAGGCCCTGAGCAGTGATGGCTAACCTTTTTGTCGTGTGCCTGCACCCATAATGCAATGTGTGTGTGACACACCCCGCCCCCTGTGCATGCACGTGTGATACCCCTGTGCCCCATGCAGCCTCCTGGGAGGAAAAATGGGCTGGATGTGGGGGCACCATCCCCCAACCTCCCCCTGCCCTCACACATGTGATCCCCCATTCCCCACATACACACGCATCTTCCAAATGCATTCTGTGGGTGCGCAACAGAGACCCAAAAATCAACTTGCCGGCAGGAGGCACATGCACATTCGCGGTGGAGCTAAGCTGGTGCGACAGCTTACATGCTTGTCGAGAGGGCTCTGCGTTCCACCTGTGTCACGCGTACCATAGGTTCGCCATCATGGGCCTAGGGCTTAGAATAGATACAATAACAGAGTTGGAAGGGACTTTGGAGGTCTTCTAGTCCAACCCGCTGCTTAGGCAGAATACCCTACACCACTTCAGACAAATGGTTATCCAATCTCTTCTTTAAAACTTCCAGTGTCAGAGCATTTACAAGTTCTGGAGGCAAGCCTTCCACTGAGTAATTGTTCTAATTGTCAGGAAATTTTCCCTTAGTTCTAAGTTGATCTCCTTGATTAGTTTCCACCATTGCTTCTTGATTAGTTTCTACCCATTACAATCCAGCTATGGCGGATTGCTGGATGTTTATTTGTTTTTCCAGCTTTGGGATATATTTGGTTGTTATAGTCTTCCAGGCACACATTTTTAAAAAGTTTAGTCTTCCTAAATCTTTTGGGAATTGGGTGGTCTCTAAATCAATCAATCAATCGATCAGTAGTTTGTACTCTGGTAAGTAAGTTGGTTTTTCTTCTCTTATTCTGCACTTTGGAACATCCTGCCACCAGATGTGAGATCTAAAAGCCTTAAAACTTGCCAGTTAGCTTGGGTCCCCAATGGGGGCACTTTACTCTGGAGGTAGAATGGAGTAATAGAGACCCCATCTTGCAACATCTTGTGCCCTTGAGTCTTAGTTTTGTTTAATTCTTGTTAACTTTAACACTTTCATATTTATTATTTTATTTTTTGAAAGCTTCCCAGAGTTGCTTTGCATAGAGAGGTGGCAGTATATAAATGTTTTTTTTTAAAGTATACAGAAGCTGGCATGGTTACATGGATCAGGAATGGCAAACCATGATCTGCAGGTTTCGTATGCCCTGCCCATTTTTCAATGCCTAAATTAGATGGAAAATAAATTTTTGGTGGTGTGATTCTGTTTGTCAAAAGTACTAAAACAAGTACCTTTTATTTATTTAATGATTTTTATATATAGCAGCTTCCCATCTCAACTAGTGATTTTGGGTAGCAAATGTTAAAATTAAGAACAATTACAACCACAAATGCAAACACTAAAATCATAGCAGCTGAGTAAAGTATCTTGTAATTATTTTCCAATCACAAGAGTTTTCCCACCAAGACTCTACTGTATCTACTAAATAGTTGCCTTCCTGAACTGTTATCCCCTGTAAGAAAATATTTATGTTCTTTGTAAATGGGATTTCCTTTTAACAGAATCCGAATAGAGTTGGAAGGAACCTTGGAGGTCTCCTAGTCCAGCCCTCTGCTCAAGCAGGAGATTCTATACCATGATTGTCCAGTCTCTTCTTAAAATCCTCCAGTGATGGAGCACCCACAAGTTCTGAATGCAAACTGTTCCACTGGTTAATTGTCCTCACTGTTAGGAA